TCATGCATGTCTCACACATATAAATGTACATACAGGCTACTCCCACAAACATACACTCATAAATTTCTCAAAATGTATAGAGTCAGAGAGATGGATCAGCTGAGAAAACGGCTTGATGCCAACACTACTGACCTGAATTTGCTTCCCACATGATGAAAACCAATGCCCCCTATGCACAGTGGCATGTGTGCATCACTGACAGAATGTTTGGTCAAGAAATCAGTCCATTACTCTTTCATTCAGTCTCACTCGATTTCACAGGACATGCACAGATATAGAGAGATAATACGACAAAATATTAATCACTCTGGATCAGGTTAGTCTTGAACTTCTGCATCTGCCTCAAAAGTATTAGGATGACAGGTGTTAGGCCTCATGCTCAACTAATTAAATGTACTGATCAAATCAAAGTACAATAGAGAGATATATGGCAACTTCCTGAAGAATAGAAAAAAATAAAAAGAAAGAGGCAGATTAATTTTAAAGACTTTTAACTCTTGCCAAAGGAAAATCTAACCATGTAACAGGAATCACCACTTGGTTTCTTATGGGCCTAGGAAATCTTTGCATTTTATTTCTCAATGACAAACTGTAGAATATGCACAGTTTATGCCTTGGCGAGATCTCAGTTTTGTGTTTTTATAGCAAGGTCTCATTCTCTGCTCATTCTGGGATGGCCTCAAGCTAGTGTTGGGATTCCAGGTGTGAGTCACCATGACTGGCTGAAGGAAATTCTGGATAAAAGCTGATCTAGTATCAGATTATTTGCCTATCATGTGTGAGGCGTTTGGGTTTGATCCCTAGTCCTGGAAAAAAAACCAAAATAACTAGTGTGGCCTCGTTGCTCATACAGTATGTCATAAGCATATGAAATGTATGGGAAGTGGCTCTTCAAACCAAAATTAATTAAAAGACATGGGGAAGGTGTTGCGACCACCTCGACCAGCAAGGAAGACACAACACCGAGCTCTTCTTTCTGCCGTTTATTCAGGAACCTTGAACAATCTTCTGACCCCGAGGAAAGCCAGCCCATGCCCTTTATAGCCACTGGGCAACCAACCCTGTAGTGCCACGTGGACAATGCCAATAGGGTCAGACATACGCAAGCAAGCCAGATTCCACGCCGAAGCCAAATAAGGAGTTGTTTATCCCAGAGAACACCCGCCATCGGGAAGGCGGAAGCCGGACGCCGGCGCCATCTTTGAGGCACGGCCGTACACGGCTCTCTACAGGAAGGAAGTACATATTCATCAATGGAAAAATCTACCAAGACTACATTTCAATTCTTAACATCTATTCCCCAAACAAAAGGACACCCTCGTTTGTAAAAGAAACACTACTACAGCTTAAATTACATATTGACCCTCACAAAGTAATAGTGGGAGATGTAAATACCCCATTCCCACTCATAGACAGGTCATCTAGACAAAAACTAAACAGAAATATCAGAGCTAACAGACATTATACACCAAAAGAACCTAGCAGATATTTACAGAATATTTCACCCAAACACAAAAGAATACACCTTCTCAACACCTCATGGAACTTTCTCCAAGACTGGCTACAAATTCAGATACAAAGCTAGTCTCAACAGATACAAAAAAAAAAAATTGAAATAAGTTCCTGCATCCTATCAGACTACCACACACTAAAGCTGGATATCAACATCAGCAGAAGCATCAGAAAGCTTACAAACCCGTGGAACCTCAACACCTCTCTACCGAATGAATAATGGGTCAATATAGAGATAAAGGTCAGAAATTAAAGACTTTCTAGAAACTACCATACTGCAGATGAAATGTTTGGTCAGGAAATCGGTCCATTACACTTCCATTGAGCCTTATTCAACCTCACTGGACATGGACAGGATACATAGAGATAATACACCAAAATATTAAATGAATAATGTGTCTTACTGATTGTTCTATTGCTGCAAAGAAGCACTATGACCAAGGCAACTCTTATAATGAACGGCTTTTAATTCTGGGATTGATTACAGTGACAGAGGGTTAGCCCATTATCACCTTGAAAGGGAGCTTCAGAGGGCATGCATGGAGCTGAGTGTTATATCCTGATACACAGGCAGGCAGGATGAAAGAAACACTTGCCTTGAACTGGTATTGTGAAATCTCAAAGCCCACCTACACTGACACACCTATACAAACAAGACACACGTACTCCAAAAGGGCACACCTCCTAATTTTACACAATTAGTTCCACTCATTGGGGACCAAGAATTTGGAGATAGGAGCCTGAGGGTGTTGAGTAAATACGAAGCCTGTCAGGAACACAACCTAAGAAGAAAGGGCTCTAAACTAAAAGCGTGAAAGCTATTGAGAGAAACAGAGAGAGAAGGGGACAGAGAGAGGAAGAGAAAAAAGGAACGGAGGGAGGGAAGGAGAAAGAAAGAGATAGAAAGAGAGAGGGAAGAAATAGTTCTTCCAAATGGGGAGAGAGCCAACTCCTCTGGCTGGTTACAGGATTCCTTAATAAAACATTTCCCGCTGGGCAGTGGTGGCACACGCCTTTAATCCCAGCACTCAGGAGGCAGAGGCAGGCAGATCTCTGTGAGTTTGAGGCCAGCCTGGACTACCAAGCGAGTTCCAGGAAAGGCGCAAAGCCACACAGAGAAACCCTGTCTCAAAAACCAAACAAACAAACAACAACAACAACAAAAAACACATTTCCCACCCCATCTAATAAGAGATTGAACAATTCAAGATCTCCAAACTCAAGTTTACATCTCTATCATTTCTCTTAGTACATGGCATTATACCTTATTTCTCTCCCTACCCAGTTCTTTTATAGAACCTGGGAAACCTAGGATCAGGTCTGGTGGACACAATAAAGGAAGTCTCTTGGTGTGGTTAAGTGTGCCTGTTGTAGATGATACCATCTGGAAGCTGCATTTCTAACTGGGTAGAAATGTCTCAGAAGGCTACTTTGGGTTTAAATTTGATTTAACTATTTTAACAAGTTGAAATCTGAAAATCTTCAATTCCAGTCAACATTAAAAGTCAGAAATCTGTGTGATCACAGCAGAGACCATAAATCAAATGAGATAAAATAGGGCCAAGCAACATCTTGTGTCTGGGTACTAAGAAGAATATGAAAGATCTGGATGACAACGCTTTGCTTCCACAGTACAATCTGTGTGGTAAGACACAGGGATGGACCCAACTGTCTCTGCTATGGAATACTTCCCTCTGTTCCTTAGCTGTGTGGGGCCTACCTGCCAAGGGCATAGGTAACATCCCCTCCTACATTCATGCTAACCTCACAATGGTGTTTTCTTAAAGAAAAGGGTGTGACAGTTCACATTTAACCTTTGACAAGTGTGGATCCCACTTGGACCTGTAACTGATGGAGGACGGGATCGTCTCAGCTACCCTTGAGTAGAAAGCAACCTTGTGGTTTGCTGCCATCTTGGCTATTATGTCAACAGTATATTACCACAATACAGAATTTGGCTATCCTTTCAGCAACAGTCCAATAAAATATCTAACAATTTATTCTTCCAACAACAGGAAACTGATGACTGAATTCATTCTGAATAAAAAATAATCATCAACACAAGATTAAATAAATAGCACACAGTACAACAGCTGACTTTAAAACTTAGAATACAACTGCAATAAAGACTGTATTATCTGGGAAAGAACAAAGAGATCATCAGAACATGAGAGGAAACAGAAAAAAAAAACAAAACTACAATTAAAATAGAGTCAAGTTTTACAAATAAGGTGAGGAAACCCAGTAAGCCTGACCTTACTAACCCAGGAAGATAGAACCACTGTGGCCTCTACATGCAATTATGTTCATATTTACACCCTGCACAGAATTAACTGCAGATGGACCCTACACCTGAATGTTCAGTGCCAAGTGCAGAACTTCAAGAAGATATTAGAGAAACTAGAGTTCAGTTAGTTAGCAAATCTCCTTTCCCTTGGCACAGTAAAAGCAGCTGAGGCTCATTGCATGTTAATGTCAGCAACAAGGATGTTTCCACTAAAGAGTTTCTGCTTTCCATGCTCTGCAAACTGTAACAAGTGAAACTAAGTCACTCAGAGGCCCAATTTCCTACTAGGAGCTGAAGACCTCTGGGAACCAAACAGTATGGCACCAGACATGAAGTCTGGCCACAGGTTCCCATCAGCACCCCCCATCCTGGACAAATTCTACATGGGCTCTGGTGGCTCCTCCCCTTGTAGGGATTGTAGCCCTTAACTCACTATGGTGTGGATTCCAAGTTCGCCCCACTCTCCTCACAGTTCTCAGCAGCAGATCACAGGTAAACATACAGGAATACCAGAGCCTCCCACAGCCCCTGGACCTCTTAGCCTGAAGCATGGAAGACTAGAAATGCCATCCCCATTCTGAATGTGGGTTGCCCTAGTGGCCCTGACAGGAGGCCAATTGGCTAGTAAGGTCTGAGTGACAGGAGCACCTCCCTTAGGAACATGGTGCTGTGAAGAGATACAGCACAGTAGATCCAAGCCCTGGCTTCCACTCCAGACACAAAACTGTCCTGGATTTGCAGAGACTGCATTGCAGTAGAACTTGTACCTGGCCTCTAAAACTTAACCCTACACTTACTTACTCCTGCACTCAGTAAGTACCTCAGCAACTCTAAGAAGGCTCATCTATATTTTCTCACATCTCTCTCAGGTACACATTGTTAACCAAAACAGTAACACTTTACCAACCTTCTGTGGTGGTACTGGCCTATAATGACAGCATTTGGGAGGTTGAGCCACACAGCAAAAGGTTAAATCACCTTGGTTTATGACACCAAAAAACAAGCAATTAGGGTCACAAAAGGGAAGGTGACTAGGATTGGGACGTGGGATGAAATATAAAATTTAGAAAGTTTGGGATCAGTTGATGGCTCATGCTTAAGTTCCTTAAGATGTACAACTCTGATACACTAGTGTTGGTAGAGAATAAGACACTCAGTGGGTAGAAAATTTAGCAATGTTGGAAAAAGCAACACAGGATACCTCAGACTGAGCTCACAGTGGCCATGAAGAGCCTGGTTCCCTTGACTCCTTCATGAAGCTCATTTAAGCATTGGACCAGACCTTCCCAAGTCTGCCCACGGGCAGGATACAAAAGTAGTGTTCCTTGGTGCTTTCATCATGGTATCTGAGAAAATTTTGAACAGGCCAGGCTCCCAAAAGGCCCAACTTCAACCTACATAAACAAAAACACATATGAAAATGGAAACACAGGGATTAACACAGGGAAAAAAGGGGCTTAGAAAAAAACACTAGTAGAGATTGGAGGAGGAATCCACATAACAGGGAATAAAAAAATATTAATGACACCAAAAGGTGATTTTAAAAACTGTAATTGATATACCTTTAACTGAAATACTTTTAAAAGAAGACAGACTCAAATTGTTAATTCCCCACATGAATTTAGAGCTGGGAATGCTGGTGCTATCCTGGAATGCCACCACATGGAAGGATGAGGCAGGAGCATCACAAGTTTAAGGCCTGTTGTGGCTGCCGACTAAGTTGACAAAAAAAACTTGGGTAACTTTATCAGATCTTGCCTCAAAATAACTTTTTGTTTATAACTCTGTGGAGAGATGCTGGCCAAGCATGGGAGAGCTCTAAATGAGTACCCAGTCTTCTCTACCCCAAAAGTGAAAACAGAGCAACTACACCAATATACTGAAATGGGTGGGTTAGAAGGGAGTGCTCTGACAGGAACCAGCTAGTTGGCTGAGTGAGTACAGACACTTGCAACCAAGTCTGAGGGCCTGAGGTCGATACCCAAGGGAGAACCCACGCCTCCAACTTGTCCTCTGACCTTCACACATATGCTGTGGCATGCGTGTTGATATGTTTCTCAATGACCTGAATTCAGAACTTTTAAAAAGAAAATTGAAAACAAGAAGAACAAAAATGCACCAAAACTAAAACATCCAGCAAAATAGCTAGCTATGCTGCATGTAGCGCAACCACTGACCAAAACAGAACTCCTTCAGAATAGGGCCAGGATGGCAACAGGGAGCAAAGCACTCACAGTTCACTCCCTATCAAGTTATGACTGCAGAGCTCCCTTAGGGTGAAATAGGAACAAATAGTTTTTCACAGAATTACTTTTCTTCTAGGTACTTTCTTTTGGATTAAACAACTAACTCTACTCCAAGTTTGTAAAGAAAAGAAAAACAAAGAAAGACAGATGAAAAGCAAGGAAATTCATAATAAGAATGATGAATGCAGGGGCTGTCAAATTACACCTAAGGCAGGATGCACCCAGGTCTGTCTCTGTTCTATAGACTTTGCGTCAGGCCTGTTTAGACAGTGCTTACACAGCATCCAGACTGGATGCTGGATCATGTATGAATCTTCCTCACTGCTGTCCTGGGCCTATGACACTTACAGATGTCACTGGGATTTCCACACAGATGCAGAGAGGTGACAACCACACATGGTCATCCTCTAACTGTATTGCTATATAGATGTGGAACAGGAGCAAGAGGCCTTGCCTGCATCCCATCCATCTGAGAGACCCCACTCTGCAGTCCTGAGAGTCACCACCAAACATCATCATCACTATGCTGTGCTATCTAACAGCCTCCATATCCTGTACTGTTAACACCCAGGACAGACCACCCTTTTGTGAAGATTATGCAGGTAAGCCACTCTGGGACATCTCTTACCTGGCAGGTGAGTGATACTTTGTTCCCTTCCCCAGCCCTGCTGTGCTGCTAGATGGTTTCTTTGACATCTGGGAACAGAAAGTAGTGAGTGGTAGAAGGAACTGTGTTTTTAAACTATTGTAAATGTATGGGTGCTTTGCGTACATGTATGTCTGTCCTCCACATCTGTGAAGTGTCTTCAGAGATTAGAAGAGACGTGGTGGATCCCCTGGGACCCAAATTACAGACAGTTGTTCATCATGTGGGTGCTGGGAATTGAACCCAAATCCTCAGGAAGAACAATCAGTGCTTTTAACTGTGGAGACATCTCTCCAGCCCAGGTAGAACTAAGTTTTCAAAACAGCTACAATCAAAGGTTTTAACCTAATGTGACTCCTAAGTTGCTTCTGGAAAATAGAAATACAGTAGTGCATATCCGAATAAAGGGCTGGAAAGATGCTTCATCACTTTCAGACCACTGGATGCTCTTGAAGAGGATCAAATTTCAATCATTACATACACAGGCCAGCTCAAAACCATTTGTATCTGCAGTCCCAGAGCACCTCCTAGGTCCTTAGGGGCACTGAATGCATGTGGTGCACACACATACATGTAGGAATAATACCCATCCACAAAAATAAAATTTAAGATCTTAAAAACAGAAACACAGGATCTTCTGGATATGTGGTGCAGAGTCACACCTCCCCCCTCCCCAACTCATCATAAGGCCTATCTGAGCTACAGAAAGGATGCTAGGCTAGGCTGTGCCACTTTTAAATACTTTGTTATTATGTTTCTGTGAGGGGGGGAGATGGTATGTACATACTATGGTGCTTATGGGGCTCAAAAGACAACTCTGTGATGTCTCTCGTTACATCTTTTACATGGGCTTTGGGGACTGAATTCAGGTAATCATGTGCTTCACATGCACACAAACACCTTTGCTCACTAAGCCATCTCCTTGACCCAGCCTATCAAATTACATGCAACCTTTTTTCTTTGTTCTTTGGTTGTGTTGTTGAGACAGTACCACACTGTGTATTCTTGCTGGCATGAAACTCACCATTAGACCAGGGTAGCCTGGAACTCAGAGGAATCTGTCTCTGCCTCCAGAGTAACAAGATTAAAGGGATGCTGTTAACAACACTGGGCTGTAAAGAAAAGAATTTACAGGATGAACTTGACACTTTGGTATCCTTAACCAAAAGTGGCCACAAGTAAAACCTGAACTGAGAGGACAGTGTCAAGATGCTGGTATCCACTGTCTTGTTATCTTAGTGTCATGAGAAGCTATTACAAGGGTAAAATCTGGAAGATTCGAGAATTCGATCTGTGTTTGTAAAACTATAATGCTATAGAATAAACTGGGAATTGGAGAGTGTCAAAGGAAATCCAGACACTGGGTAAAATATTAAGACACATCTTACTATACAATTGACATGGGAAAAAGAATCCACTGGGACTGAACTTGGCCTGGAACTGTAGAGGTGACTGACTAGATATAGTAAGGATATGAGGGCTGAGCAAATTCAGAAACTGAAAATGTGTGAAAACGTGGTTAAAGGAAGGTGGGCTTTGTGTCCTCAGACTTGATCTTCCTACCCAGCTTCCTGATAGCTGGGAATTCCGATTTTGTTTGATCCCCAGGACTCATATAGTGGAAAGAGAGAAGAAATTCATACAAGTTGTTATCAGGGATCCACATGGGGACCATGACATGGGCATGTCCCTCCCCATACAAGCTAGTAAACAAATAATTATCATTTAAAAAATTAAAATATATCTACATTTTCATAAGCAAAGCCATTCATCCCCTCAAACTTGGCAAAGATCCAGCTTCAGTTTCCTTTCCCAATGCTGTCATCAAAGGTGTGCCCCACACTCCTCCACCCCTACCATACAATTCACCTTTTTGATCATCTGTCTCATTCAAGGCACCCAATTCCTGAAACAGGAACTCAAGCCCACTGAAATACAGTTCATCAGTAACTATTTCAGGGGTAGTATGGGATTGACCACTTATTAAAGACCATTGTCTAGTTGTATTTGTTTACATCATCATACATAGTAAAAGTACTCTACCCCTGACCTACATCCCCAGCACCCTGGTTTCCATGCCAGTTACCCTGAAACCAAACCACATAAAGATGCAACAACGAGAATCAAGGACCTTTTCCTCTTATGAACACAGAATCAAAACTTGTCAACACTCAAAAACCAAATCCAAGAACACATCAGAACAATCATCTACCCATGCTCAAATAGGCTTCATCCAAGATATTCAGGGATGGGTCAAGATGCAAAAACCAAGAAATGTAATCCATCATATAAGCAATCAGAAAGAAAAAAAAAAACTACATTATCACCACATTAGATGGAGAAAAGACCTTTGACAAAAATCCAACTTCCCAGATAAAATCCCTTCATGATAAAAGTTCTTCAGAAATAAGGGAGACAAGGAATACCTAATCAGAATAAAGCAATTTCCAATAAGCCTATAGCCAACTTCAAATTAAATGGAGAGAAACTCAAAGTTATTCACCTAAAATCAGGAACAAAACGGTCTTTCTACTCTCACCATGTCTATTCAATATAGAACTAGAAGTCTTAGCTAGAGCAATAAAACAACTGAAGGAGATCAAGGGGGTAAAATTGGAAAGGAAGAAATCAAAGTATTTTTATTTGCAGATGATGTGATAGGGTACCTAAGTGGCCCTAAAAATTCCACAGAACTCCTATGGCTGAAAAACACTTTGAGCAAAGTAATTTGCGTACATAATTAACTCAAAAAAATCAGTAGCTCTCCTTTGTACAAATGATGAAAGGAATAAGAAAGAAAGCAGGAAAATAACACCTTTCAAAATAGCCCAAAATTACATTTAAAATTTCTCACAGTAACTCTAACCTAGCAGCAAAAGACTTATGTGATAAAAACTTCAAGTCTTTGAAGACAGAAACTGAAGAAGATATGAGAAAATAGAAAGAACTCCTACACTCATGGATTGGTAGGACTAACATAGTAAAAATGGCAATACTACCAAAAGCAATCAACAGATTCAATGCAGTCCCCATCAATATCCCAACACAATTCTTTACAGACCTTGAAAGGACAATTCTTAACTTCAAGTGGGAAAAAAAAGCAAAAAAAACAAGATAGCTAATGCCATTCTGAACAATAAGAGAACTGCTGAGGTTCACACCATTCCAGATTACATGCTGTACTGCAGAGGTATAGTAATAAAAACCACATAGCATTGGCATAAAAACAGACACATCAATTAATGGAATAAAATTTAAGACCAAGACATGAACCCACACCGCTATGGACATCTGGTTTTTGATAGAGATGCCAGAAATACACACTGGAAAACAGACAGCATCTTCAACAAATGGTGATAGACAAAACTTGATGTCTGCATTTAGAAAAATGCAAATAGATCTATACTCATCATCCTGCACAGAATTCAACTCCACATTATAGGAGGCTGTATGACCCTGCCCTGTGTGAAATGTTAGCTGCTGAGTACTGTATGCTACACACAAGCCACAGCCAAATGCCCAGTGTCTCAATGCTCTCACCTGACTAAAGTGAGACAACTGAATTTGCACTTACCAACATGAGAGAGTTGCCCAGTTGGAAATTTGAGTGGCTCAGGCTAACCTCCCCAAATTGTACACCCACCAATTTGGTTTGCCCTTATTCACATGGTATGAATTAATGCATACTGGGAAAGTACACAGAAAAGCACTCATCCTGCCCAATCATGTCCTTTTTTATGACAGATACCTACAAGTCAATGACTTAAACAACCTCTAATCTAGCTATTGCCTCGCCTGCTTCCCTGCAGTATACACAATAAACTAATTTCCTTCTGTTCTGGTCTCAATGGAGAAGCTATGTCCCACACACTAATGAATAGCCCACTCTGTGACTCAAGGGGGTTAGTATTAGAAGTGTGTGTTCCTACAAACCTTTCAAATTCCTACAAGAATTAAGGAGATTGAGTCAGGGTGATTGCAGAGTCAATGCCCTGTGGGCCTAAACACTGGAATCAAGGCAAAAAAAGTCAACATAATGAACCTTGTCTCAAAATATTTTTCTGAAAGCTGGAAGGTGTAACTGTTCTGGAATTAATGTGCCATCACAATGAGAAATCATGTCACACACTTAGAGATTAATTCAGAAAAAAATCTCTTCAGTAATTATAAGTCTCCAGCTCTACCAAATACACAGAGGAGGGGACAAAGAATATATTGGCTAATTATATACACCACAGGCTTATGCACTCCACATATGCTGTCAACCTGGATAAATGCTATTTACTGCCTTCCTGCTATCATGGCTTGCTCAGTTTGATTCCTTATAGGAGTCAGGACCACCTGCCCAGGACAGCTCCACCTACAGTGGGATGGGCCCTATTACATCAATCACTAATCAAGAAAACACCCTTATAGGTTTACCTACAGACCCATGTGACTCTAGCTTGTGTCAAGCTGACCAAATCTAACCAGCCTATCTACTGAGTCATCTCTCAAACCCCAAAGACAGATTTATAAGCAAACCTCAACTCTCTTAACATTTGCTTTTCAGCATATACTTGTGCCCGCGCGCGCGCGCGCACACACACACACACAAGTTTTGAAAATCTGTTGAGTTTAGGACTGGAGATGGCTCAGCATTTACCACCACTTTTTGGTCTTGTAGACGTCCTGGGTTTGGTTCTCAACACTAACATGGTGGTACAGAATCAATCATCCCTAGATGCTGTTACAGAAGATCTGATGCCTCCTTTTGTCTTCTATGGGCACAAAACATACATGTGGTGATCAGACACATATGCAAGCAAATCACTCTTAAACATGAAATAAAATAACATAGAAAAATTAAAAACATATACCCTCATATCTCATATAGGTCATCATAGATAAATAAGCCAGAAATATACAGAAATGTGACAAATATCTGTAGACAAAACTATAACTTTGTAATTAAAGAATTCAAGAAACTTGATCAAAGGAGAGAAATTCCGTAATTGTACACAGGAAGCCTAAATATAATTTCAGAACAGACTTTGAGCTATAGATTCAGCAACAGTCCAATAAAAAGTCTAGCAACTTTTATTATCTACAACAGAAAAATGACGACAAAGGTCATCATGAATGAAAAAAATGATCAACACAAGATTAGGTAAATAGCACACATTCTGATACCATCTGACTTTAAAACTTCCCATACAACTGCAATAAAGATTGTACTGTCTGGGAAAGAATAAACAGATCAAAAACTTAGAAACAAAATCACAATTAAAACAGTGTTGATTTGAACACAAGAGGCCAGGAAACCCAGTAATCCTGGCCTTCCTAACACACATGACTGGACCACCCTGGAATCTACATGCAAATGTGTTAATGACACAGAATTTACACCCTGCACAGAATTAACTGCAGGCAGATCTACCTACACCTGAATGTTCAGTGCCAAGTGCAGAACTTTTAGAAGACAGTAGAGAAAGTGGAGCTGTCATTTAGCAAACCTGCTTTTCAAGCCGATGATGATAGCGGGGCATGCGCACACAATGCATGGTGAGGTCACAATAAGGAACTAGCCACAAAAAGTACCCACATCCCCGTGTTCTTTGCAGCCGTAGCTGCAATACGCAGATGGAAGTTATTCAGAGGCCGGGAGTTGTAGGGACAGCTCGGATCTCATGGACCTCACGGGGCGAGGATCCGCCAGCGGTTCCCACAGCCCCGGGACCCTACACCGGCTCCCGCGGCTCCTCCCCTCGTGGAAACGGCGGCCCCTCACTCACCATGGCGGATTCCGAGCTCGCCCGGCTCTCCTCTCAGCAACCGGCAGCGGGTCGCAGCGCAGCACACGGAACCCAAGCGTCTTTTTGGGCCTAGAGCCTCGGAGTCGGCTGCTTGGCTGACCGGAAGTGCCCTCCCTTATTCTGACTGACAGTCGGCTTGAGAGCCCTAATTGGTTAATGCGTCCTGAGTGACAGAAGCAACTCCCTTTGGGACAGAACGTTGTGAAGGAACACAGTACAGCGTTTCCCTCCTCTGGCTTCCACTCCTGGCACAGAACTGCCCCAGACCTGCAGAGATTGGCATTGCCCCAGAACTTTAGCCGGAACTGCAAAGTCGTCCCTGCACTCAATGGGCACTGCACCTTCCTCCTCCTGGGCACAGGGTGTTAGGCTTCAAACCTGGGATTAAAGGTTGAGGTGCATATTTCACTTATAAAAGACACTAGCTGTCAGGTTCTCACTGCCTCCCTCAGTCCCTACCTATGACAGGATATGGTTGCCATGCACCGCCCCCTACCCTGAACTTCTCCAGCCCTTCCCTATACAATCCAACCATTCTGATAACCCGGTTTCTTTTTGTTGTTGTTTTTGTTTTTTTCCAATCTACCCTTCTTCCTGACCTCTTGGTTTGCCTCTCCCCGTCTCTCCCTACCTCCTCTTGTCACATGGCTCAGGCTCATGTCCACTCTGGACTCTCCCAGATGTCCCTGTCTCTCCCTAGACCCTCTTACGAATAACAGACTTTCTCCTCTACCTTACCTAGGAGCAGTCATGTCCTTTCCTTTTATAGTTTTTTGTTTTTGTTTTCCAATCTGGTGCCTGAACCCGGAACCAGTCATGTCTTTCCTTTTTTATTTTTATTTTTCCATTCACAGCATCCTAGGCATACACAAATCATTACTTAATGTGCAGTGCAGTGATTCCCTGGCTCACAAGAGAAATGACGCCCAGCCCCTCTAGGTCCAGTTTAAACAACCTGATTGACATTCAGCAGGCATCAACAATTTCAATAAGGCTCACCTAGGATTGCTCACACTTCTCTCAGCAGTACATTGTTGGCCAAATATGAACCCTTTACTGGCCTTATGTGGTGGCACTGATGTTTCATGACAGCACTGGGGAAGTGGAGGCAAGACATCAAAACTTTAAACCAGCTCAACCTGTGTGACACGAAAAGCCAAAAATTTAGATCCCGAAGGGGAGGTGACCAGGGAGATATCAGTAGGTCTTGCATAAGCTGATGGCTCATGCTAAAGAAGTTTATTAAGAACTAAAGCTCTGATACACTATTTGTAGGGGCAGAACGGAACAGTCAGCAGAAAGCTAATTAAGCCACATTGTCAAGACACACAGAATACCTCAGACTCAGCTCACAGTGGGCATGAGACACAGAACTTGGCACATCCATCAGGGCATCTGAGAAAGCCTTGGGTTGGCCTGGCTCCCAAAAGACCCATCTCCAACCTAAATAAAAACACATATGAAAATGGAAACAAAGGGATCAATGCATGGAAAGCTAGGGCTTACAAAGAAAGACTAGTAGAGATTACAGATTAAATGGGCATAATAGCTAATAAGAAAATATTAATAACACCACCAAAAGTTAATTTTAAAAACCATAATTGATATACCTTAAGATACATTACTTTTAAAAGAAGACAGATTCAAATTGCTGATTTCCCAAATGAATTTAGAGCTGAGAGTGGTGGTGATGCCCTGGAATCCCACCACATGGAAGGATGAGGCAGGAGCATCACAAGTTTAAGGCCTGGTGTGGCTACAGACTAAGTTGACAAAAACTTGGGCAAGTTAACCAGACCCTGCCTCAAAATAACTTTTTGCTTAAACCTCAGTGGACAGATGCTTGCCAAGCATGGGAGAGCTCTAGAATGAGTACCCAGTGTTCTCTACCCAAAAATGACAACAGAGCAACTACACCAATATACTGAAATGGGTGGGTTAGAAGGGGGTGCTCTGACAGGAACCAGCTAGTTGGCTCAGTGAGTACAGACACTTCCAACCAAGTCTGAAGTCTGAGATCAACTGAGGAGAGAATCCATATCTCCAACTTGTCCTCTGACCTTCACACATGTGCTATGGCGTGTGTGTCCACACATGTCTAAATGACCCAAATTCAGAATTTGTAAAAAGAAAACTGAAAACATGAAAGACAAAAATTCACCAAAACTAAAAAATCCAGAAAAATAGCTAGCTAGCCACATGGTACCTCAGCCATTGACCAAAATAGAAGTCCTGCAGCACACTGCCAGAGTAAGTGTCTGGACTGGCAAGCCACCTGCCCCTAAGCCCTTTGTAGCACTATGGCAGATGGCAGAGTGAGGTGATGGGCTCCCACCATCCCAGAGAGAACGAAAAGTGTTTGAACCTTTGCTGGGACCAGCCAACTACTGGGTCAGACTTCAACTCTGGGAGTTGAGGAATCGTTTCTGGGGCACTAGTCAGGTTTGCTATGAAACTGAGAAAGGACAAAGAGAACCAGCCATTTCCACGGACAGCCATACCTCTGGCCAGCTATGGAAAATGTTTTCATTTTATAAAGATTTGGGAAGGGATACACTTCTGCCATTGTAGGGAGATCCACTGAATCATTATGGATTTCTCTTCAGCTCTTCCAGTACGGGACAATCAAGGACAATTGTACACAGCAAAGAGACAGTGTAAGTGACAAGAAAGAGAACAACCTTCTAGCTAAAGGACAAAAGGAGATAACGAGCATATCGTCAATTTCCAATTGGCCCACTGGTGGTCAAGGTAAAAACCTATACATCAAGGGAGAAAATATGAAACACAGAGTCCGAGGTCATCTGAGAATTTTTTTCATCAAGTGTTACCTACTTTGACCCATGCATCTGCAGTGAGTGCCACTGAGTATGTGTATTGGGCTAACATTAATCAGCCTTTGTATAAAATTATGGATTGTCACACAGCTTCTGTAATTAATACTAATGTCTCTGTGTTTATGACTGGATCTTGAGACTGTATTAGAATCGTTCATTCATCTTAAGAAGGGAGTGCATTTGCTTTGTCCTCGGGATCTGAATCACTTCACATTTGCATAAGACATTGTAACATTTATATTTCTATTAAGGTCAAAGTAGAATAAGTTCCAAGAGATACCAGAACTACTCGTCATATGGATCTCTTTTCAATCTATTCCCTAGATTTTTGTGACCATCATGATAATGCAACCAATAACACTGTTCATAATTTTATTCTTATTTTTTGTTGCAGGAAATGTTTCTAATTTGTTTGCTCCTAAAATACTCATACATTAAATGACAATAAATTTTATTTACATCTGAAATCTAAACCTCTCAGGATATCCTGCATTTTAAAAAAATTTAAAAGGGGGATGAATAGTAGAACATGGACAAGGACTGCAGTCATGTAAGGAAAATTCTGGGTGCTTGTAAGAACATTTCAAGAAAACAAGACAGGATTCTTGTGATCTCAGATTCTTCAAAATATGGCATTATTATTGGAATGTGTTTTTGTGCTACTCTCAGGTGTAGCAAACAGAAATGAGTTTACCTCAAATTTCTCATTATTGTTTATTATTGTTATTCAATTAAATGTTTAAACTATCCTTTACATACCCCTGTAGAAAATCATGATTTCCAAGTCCGGCATGTCTTGTGATGGTATACAGCTTAAATTCTGGCTTCTAGCTGTGTATCCCATGACATGTAGTCAAGCCTCTCTGTGCTTTCCTTTACTCATTTGATCTTCCTTAACCCATAGAGTAGGAATTGTCTGGGGCTCTTAATAAGTTCGGCAACTTCATGAAACTGTATTCACCACATTTACAGGCTCCATTCTCCCAGGTCCCACGGCCTATACAGGAGAGACAAGGGTGGGCCGTCACAATCTGCAAACTTTTTGTTTTTTAAAGATAGGGTCTCATATAGTCCAATGTTTTTGAATTGGAACAGTAATGGCTATAAAATGTCATATCAATGGTGAACCAAATACTCTAAAATGGTGATTTTCACTTGTTGGAACTTTACTTCAATTAGGTAAAATCACTATAATGAACTCTGACTTTATTACTTTATTTCAGTAAAACCCTTTGCTTATAAATGCCAAGAAAAGAAGAAATGTTAAAGGCCAGTTTCTGTGCCACAAAGATTGTTGAAAGGTACTTGCAGCTTATCCTAATGACTAGAGTTCAAATCTTATAATAAAAAGGGTATCAACTCCTGAACACTCTGCTCTCACCTCTACATATGCACTCTTACATATACAGGTGAATTTGAACTCATCACCCACCTGCCTCCACTTACAAATTCCTGGGATGACAAGTTCCATGAACAATCTTTCTTTACACAGAGGCCTGGTGCATGCTAGGACATCTTCCTATGCGTTGAGATTCATCTGAGCTTGAAAACGTTGATAGAGCAGACTTGGTGATGAATAGCTACACATTGAACCTCTCAAAAACAAAACGAAACAAAACAAAATGCAAACAAATGAAAGAATTCATTACAATTGAGCCTGTCTCTCTCCGTGTGTGTGTGTGTGTGTGTGTGTGTGTGTGTGTGTGTGTGTGTGTGTGTGTGTGTGTGTTTTGATACAAGGTCTCTCTCAGTTGCCTGTGCTGCATTTGAACTCACACTGGAGCCCTTAAACTTCTAAGCCTCCTCCATCAACTTCTAAGTTCTTGGATTACAAGCCTTCACCACCAAGTGAGGAAGGTAGGGCACAGAGAGGCTTAACTACCTGTCACAGGATACACAGCCAGTAGCCAGAGGTGCAAGGCAGGACTAGAATATTCCTCGGGTCAAGTGGGAATCCAGAACCTTCCTTGAAGTAGAAAGCCAACTGCTCTGCATAGAAGAATATGAAGAGCACCAGGATCCAAGCCTCTTTTATTTCAGATGTTCAGAGAATCATGGATGGTCTAGGGCCACAGTGAAGCATGAGGCATTAAGAGGAGCCTAAGAAGAGCCATAGGCATGTGGCCCAGGTCCAGGTGGGCACAGCCCGGGAGCAGCATTGTGGGCTTTTTACAGAGTTCAAAAGGGCATCCCAGTCCAAAACCATGCACAAGAATTCCTGCACAAGGCCAAAGATAAGGACAATAATATAAGTACCCTCCTTGTTCACTATCATGGCCC